TTTTATATCTAAGATTTCAAAATTTAATACAAGATTCCTTACAAGTTTTTCAATCTTTATCACAAATAAAAATTCCACCGGAAATTCAAATTAAATTTTTATGAGCATTTGAAATTTAAATTTTTACAACATTGGATTTTCACTGGATTTCACATTTAGTGATTTTCGTATTTTGTTGTAACTCTAAAAGTATAAAACAAAATATAAATATCGATAAAAATTTATTTTTTCGGTAGAAAAGCTTGAAAATTTAATACAAGGCTTCTAACACATTTTAGCAATAGCAGTTGAAAAATAAAATAAATTCATGGTCACAATTTTTTTTTACAAGGATTCAAAGTTTGAATTTTGACAATATACGTAAAAATCATGAAAATTCATAAATTATTTTATGCTAGAAATTCATAAAAAAATTTCCTTTTATATCTAAGATTTGAAAATTTAATACATGGTTCCAATCATATTTTTACAATAGCAATTGAAAAATAAAATAAATTCGTTGCCACAATTTTTTTTTACAAGCATTCAAAGTTTGAATTTTGACAACATAATATGTAAAAATCATGAAAATCCGCAAATTATTTCAAACTAGAAATTCATAAAAAATTTTCTTTTTAAATCTAAGATTTGAAAATTTTTAATAATCTATAATATATCCTACACAGATAAACCGCTTAGAATCGTTTTTCGTATACAATGATATAATATTATTGGATTCAAATTTAATTCCATCCATTACAGTAACCCACTTGTAACCTACTGTACAGCAGTGCGATATCCACGACTTACCCGCCTTTTTTTAAAATTTATAATTGTAATAAATTTTTTTAAATTCAAATGGCCTCCTTTGTAAATTTATAATTATAATAATTTTTTTTTAATTTTTTTATTGTATTATAATATATTTTATTTATGTCTCCGCCGATTATAATAAGTGATTGATATTTGGAGTAATTGTTTAAAAAGTCTTCAAGATTATCAATAAAATCAATTTTATTCAAACTGGGTGATCTGTAAATGMATGTTATATTAATTAATATATTATTATAGGAAATTGAGAAATCTAATGGGCTACAGTGGTTACCCTTCCAGTTATTATATCATTTACTATAATTGAGTCTTTAATGTAGGTAAACACTTATTCCATCAGATATATTTAATAAGCTATATCTCAGATAACATAATAATATCAAATTTAATGTTAGCTTAACTTAAAACCACTAAAAATTCGTTAAAATGTTTTCTGATACTTTATTCAATGAAAAGACAATAAGATCATCAATTTGACCAGACAAATCTCTAACCATATGTTTTTGAAATTTATTTTGCCAACCAGAATAATCTTTTGTTTTCCTTAAATAAGTTGATCGTTATTGATAAATACTTGGACTTAAGGAAAGTTAGTATGTAAATTATTCGCAGTTACCGGATTTTTATTCTTATAACTTAATTTTATTGATTTAATAATAGGTACTGTCTTTTAGGATCGTTGAATTGAATTTAGCTTTAATTTTACCATCAGTATTGTTGAACGGTTTCAATCTGTAAGTATGTATCAACAATATCTTCGTTTTTATAATACTAATGTTTAATATATTAGCTACTGATGTAATTATATTAGGTGTATCTTAGCTAGGAGGTTTCGGGATACCAGTAATTTAAACCTATTGATTTAGAGAAGCTTGTTCTTTAACATAATTTTGAGGCAATCAATTTCTTTTTCAAGTTTAGAGCATCTACGTTCTGTTTCCATTACCCTCTTTTCCATACCATTAACGGTGTTTACAACATTGGCTATTTTCTTCTTGATTTCATCAAATGATTCTCCATAGAAATTTAATGAACTTTCTATTGATGCGACGTTAGTAGTAAGTACTTTGATTTTTCTAAGCATTTTTTTCATATCAATTTTTACTGACCCTAAATCATAATCGTCCTCATCATTTTGATTTGAATTTCCCATATTATTCAATTTTTTTCTTTGCGTATTATTTTTAGTATTATAATTACAATATTCACAAGTCCATTTAGCACTAATCTTATTATATTCCACGAGTGATTCAAGATTTGTACATTTCACATAAAAATCAAAATCACAACTTTTACAAGTTACGGTTTTCTTAGGTGATATGTTAATATTACATTTAGCACACAGCATAATAATACGAAATACGACCATGACGAACACACTATAACGCACAACCGGCTTTAACGAGAAGTAGATAATAACTGAAGTAGATTTTAGGTTCTTATTAAAAAGTATTTACTTGCACTCAATTATAAAAGATTATTAATTTTTTTTATTTTTTTTATGTAGTGGTGGAATTGGTGGTAATTACAAAAAGAAAAAAATACATGAATATAAATGGAAGAAAGATAGTGTTGCACCTGGAGGATCTGATGCAAGTGATAAAATTGCATCAAAAAAAAAGCGTACAGTAAGTTTTAAATTTAAATCTACACAAAAACAAAAAGTTTAAATGTTAAAACATATTATGTTTAGTCTACAAGTATTAAAAAGGGATCTGTGTTATCAACTAAACAGAAACTTAAAGTTGTATCCAAAGCAACTATATCTACTAGCGAGGATGATTGTAATGACAATGAAGTAAAACAACGAATTTCTGGGCAGTTAGTATAATACATTCTTCTTAATATAAAAAAAAGTTGTAATTCATTTGTTGTATATAATATTTAAATTTATTTCTACAGTAATTCAAAGAATGCTAGATCACGTTCAAGGTAAGTACCTGCTATTAATTTGTTACATGATGTCTTTTGTAGATATTATATTATACAAAGTTATTATGATTTACTTAACCAAAGTAATTAATTTAATGTTTTTAGCTCCAATTCTCATTCACGTTCCGGTAGCCGTAAATCAAGAAATATATCTCGGTCTGGTGCACGTAGGTTTAGATTAAAATCTAAAAGTGTCTCACGCAGACTATCAAAATCTAGATCACGTTTGGGTAGTAAATCAAGTAGCTATTCACATTCTGGAAATAGTTCTAGTTCTGGAAGTTGTTCGGGAAGTCGTTCACCTTCATATAGTATTTCAAGATCTAATAGCCGATCTAGGTCTTGCTCTGCATCTGGTTCTAAATCTCGCTCTCAATCTCGAAGTAAATCTAATTCAGTATCAAAATCATCAAACCAATCGAAGTCTATTAATTGTTCTGCTACTGATTCACCAGCTTGTTCAGGAAGTAGATCTGCATCTAATTTGTATTCCAAATCTAGCAGCAGATCTTTTTCTAAATCTAGGTAAAAATAATTTTTTAAGGTTCACAAATTTAGTGATTATAACTGTGAATTTTTTTCCTCTTTCTCTCGCCTCCGCTTCGGACACACCTTACTATCTTCGCACTTCTTTAAACTCGGCCTAAATAATTTCCCCTTCTGCATCCGCTATTCCTGCTTCGCTACTTACAACATCACTCACATCCTTTTTAACTGCCTATAGATCTTCTCCCAATGCAAAAGTTTTCTCTCCTTAATTAATTTTCTAAATATTCCAGTCAATCCTCAGTATATTGTTTCCTGGAATTCTCAACCTGTTATTAGTTATACCAATTACTCCATGTTTAACTCTGGATTATGTAACTTTACAATAGTATATTGAATCATATCAAAATATATTTAATTATTAATTTTGTAACAATTTATTTTTATTTTCAGTAGTGGATCAGCTTCTAGATCCGGTTCAGCTTCATCAACTTTATGATTAAACAACTTTACGATTAAAAATTATTTAACATATTAAATTAGGTGTGATATTATTTTAATTTTTTTTGATATGTGTAATTTTATTCAGAAAAAACTACAAAATAAAATTTCTTGAAAATAGTTCAAAGTAAATGCATAGCTAACATCTAATTTCGCTGTACCTAGTTACTCGGAATATTATATAATATTATCTGCTTTTAAGTTTTCAATATTATATAGGCATTTATATTTAAAAATACAAATAGCAGTTTAATGATTAAATTATTAGGAATCAAGTTTATATAATTTTAAATTAAGTTTTACAGCATTTTTGATTATATTGATCGTTAATAAAAAAAACTCAAAAATTAATTATTAATGTTATTAAGAGCATCGGAATCGGTACAATTTTAGATTAAAAACATATTATCATTGATTAAATGGAACTCTCACACCTTGTAGCCGGATTCTGTTTTTTTAAATTATCATTTAAAATCCAAGGAAATTTCGAAGGTTGAATTAAAGTCCAATTTTAAAAATTATATTTGTAGAAACTGAAATATGCATTTTGAATTATGTAAAATGTTGTCATTTTTCAAATGTATTTTCCTAGCACTATTTAAAGTAAAATGAAAATTGGGGTTTAATCAAACCTGAAAACACTTATAATGTCTATCACATTTTATAGAATTGCGGATAATTGGAAAAACCGTTACCGACACCCTTATCAATTTATGGTTTTCCTTTTTTAAATAAGTTAATTTTTTTCTTTTGTGATTTATTTACTCAAATTTTCTGTAATGTTATATTTAAGGTAATTATTGATAAGATTTTTTTCATTATTATTAAATTTATTTTTTTTTTGTTACTAAAAACAATATTCCGTGTACGTTCAATATAATATTAAATCTTTGTTGATTGTTTATTTGATGCTGATTAAACGGATAGTAACAGACTGGATTGGGAAATAATTGCTGTTAATGTAATAATCTAATAATGTAATAAAATATATTAATACTCCATTTTTAATATTCAATAATTGAACATGTTATTTTTCTGCTTAAATTCTTAATATCCACAATGCCCTATTGCACATAATTCCCAYGCCTAAGTCATAGTCTACCGACCTTTTGTATTTGAAATTCATCTTTAAAAATCTGCCCAATTAGTTTTACCCAAACAAAATCTTTTCCACACTACATAATATTTTACTTATAACGAGGTTCAGGTATTATCATCTCCACTAAGACCGATACACTATAGAGGGAGTGTGTTCTATAACAAAACTGCTAAGGAAGCAAAATTCGTGATAATGGGTAGGGCTCATGCCAATTAACGGAAAGATTGTTCAACTATCTAAGCAACCAAATCTGATAATTCAATAAGGATTGAACATTTTCTAGACAATAAAGCGTGGTTTTACCAAAATATGTCTGTCCACGCTGCCAAACACCCAAGAGATTGTAAAGTCAAGAAAACTTTCCACCCGAAAATCCACCCGGCCGAGTAACACTAAGATACCAAAGATGTCCTGGATGGCATGGCAGCTTTCATCAAAATAACAACGGATAACTGACACTTTGTATAATATAGTATTAATAATAATACTCATTAAGTAAATTCAATCTAAATTTTAAATTAACGGATCTAAACCTAAACATAATCTACCAAGTRAAATTTTTTTTTATATTTAAACCAAGGGAAAAGCAAAAATAGTTTTTCTTAATGACAACGTAGAACAGCTTATACTAGTATGTAACATTTATTTAGCTGTAGAATATACCTGCGACCATTTATAATATAAAAAAAATATTTCGACTCTTTTTGAGCTCTTTAAAGTCACGATAAATTTTGGATTTTAAAGGGTTTTTTTTAAATTCTTATAAATAAATAACTTTTCGCTCAATCGAAAGATTGAAATTTACTAGGACAAAGTTTCATATAATTTGTTAACAGTGTAATTAAAAAAGAAGTTGATCGTAAATCTAAAATAAATTTGTATTATTTTGCTGTAGCTAGAATTTTGGCAGAATTTTTCAAACTTATTTTTGGTAAATTATTTTTCTGTTAGAAAATTAGAAATTCATAAATTCACGAAATTATAAGGTAAGTTGTTAAATTATTTTTCAACTTTGATTATTTATATAAGTATAATAGCGGTAACAGACCGACTTCGCTCGAATCATTTTTTAACAATTTATTATTTAATTCAAATTTAATAACTCATATTATAATAATGAGTAGTCGACTATGATAGCTACTGTACAGCAGAGTGGAACATACTTTCAGGGATGTGTTCCCAAGAGGGGATGAGGGGATCATATACCCTGTGACTTTTTTTTTTAATGATGGTTGTGTTTCTACTTCTCGGTTGTTTTGGTTTGATTGGAAAAACAGGTAGTACCTTTATTATTATTTATAAGTTTTAATTTTCGAGTCATACAAGATATTAGTATCCACAATATTAAAATATCATGTAAATTGTGTATATTAAAATAATAATTCTTTATTATGTTATTTCCATATATCTGATAATTAGCCATACGTGAATATCGGCATAATATTTAGACATTTACCAACAGATGTYTTTAGCTTAAGCTCTTAAAATACTGTGCTTGAAATTCTGAATTCTATTTTAGAAACTTTAGAAGATATAAGAAGTCCAGAAGGACAGGTTGACTTTCATAAGATGCAGAATTTAAAGGGCTACTTAGTATTTTGTAGGCTTTTAATTTTTTATTTATAGCACATATTTTTAAAACAGTTGTTTATTTTATCGAATCTGTTAGTTACAAGCGCATAATATTGATATACTAATAGCTATTGAACTAATTAAGAAAAAAATAAAAAATAAAAAATATTACATGTTTGAGGTATAGTGAGTAGTGATATGTTTTTAAATATTTATGAAGCCATTAAAAAATTCCAAAAACAAAGTTTTGATATAAAACTGACTTCACCCAAAACTCACAAGAAGACGTAAACGATTTACACGCCAGCCAGATGAATAGTCAAATGATGAACAAATAAATGATCTTGTGATATCTTATAAAGTTAACACTTATTAAGTGTTTATTGATAAAATATTATCAGAACTTCGTAAAAGGTTTAAAAATAATACTTTAATAATGGCTAAGTATCCATCTTTATTAACAATTAAATTAATTTCTATAGTACCATGAAAAACAAAAATATAATTACCTACATACCTGTTGATGCATTTTCTTCTGTCTGTAATAATTATAAAAAAAATCCTTACTAAAGAAGATATTATACGAGAATATAAACAACTTGTAAAATCAAATATTAATTTCATATTTATAGATAAAAATGTATTTTTAGTTTTAAATGCATCAGACGAGTCAGATTCAGATAATTCAAATTACTCTATTGAAAATAAATTTGTTAATGATTCTTAAAGTATTTTGAAAAAATATTAAATATTTATTAATAAAGGGTATAAAACATTTTTTCAAAATGTATTTATTTTTTTTCTAAAAATTGGTGCTACATTACCAATTTCCAGTGCATTGTCAAAAAGAACCTTTTCAAAGCTCAAATTAATAAAGACAAGATGACTTCGTTCAAGATCACTTTAAATATTTAATGATTATTTCCTGTGAATCTAAAAACTGAGATTGGCAAATTTTCCATGAGGTCTTCTGTTTCAACAAAACCTCTAACCTATTAAGATAATTTTAAATAATGTAATTTTATGTTGTTAATTATCAAGTAAAAACATATATTATATTGTATTTTTCTTTGAAATGTGACAAGGTATTTTTTACATTATTTATTATATTGTGTAATTATGAAAGAAAATTGGTTTCTGTACATACAATATAAACTATTTTTTAAAATTTAATAAAAATAAAAATAATAATTCCATGTACTACATAACTTACGTTATGGCTTGTATAATACAGTAGGCGTTAATATATTTTTTTTATGTATATATTGAGACACTATTAAGCATTGCTATACATATTATTGTGTAAGGGTTTGATAGTGTTATTGGAGGGGCAGGATGGAAACTCATCTCATGTTTTCTCACAAAATAGATGGGTAGGTGTTATGGATAGTGCAGTGGACCCAATAGTCAGTATAGTAATGTTATGTATAAATTAGACATGTAGTATAATTTATGATATAAGTATGTTGATATTAATAATAAATGCATATATGTACGTGTATGCCTAAATAGTGTATTTTTGTACCAAATAACAGACTCTTATCATTTATATGCCAATAATAGTGTATTTTATAGATTTGTATTTAGGACTATAATAATTGACACGGGAACGATGGTAGTTGTATGATGGTGTCTGCGGATCGGTGGGTCCAAGATTGTTGCCGTAGTCACGTGTATTACAAAATAACAAAAAGAAACGATAGTAGGAAAAACAAAACAGAAAGAACACAACTTTAAGTCTGCACTTCACGGCTCTTGTATATTTTAAGTATGGACATAGGCGTGCGCAGGATTTAGTGTCGGGTGTAGCATACATTTTTCATCGGCCCTAATAAACAATAAGCAGCCCCTTATTTCCTTAATATAACCCCCTCCCCCGAATTTGCTGCACTGGTTGGATGGTTAATGCGCTATTGGCATTGTTGACTGTTGTTGTGTCTGTGTCTGTAATCTAGTGTACGTCGAATATCTCCAATATTACCCATCTATTTTTAGACTTGTATTGATAAAATAATATTATTATATATTATYAACACTGAACATATTTTATATTTTAAAATTATTAACTCAATAWTATRTTTAAAATCATTCCATACATTTTTTTACCAGTTCACTATCCAAATAAATTGTCAGGTGCAGCGGAAGCAGCATTCGCTGCACCCATGCGCACGCCTATGAGTATGGACAAAAACAGAAACGCCAGGGCCATGAATATAAAAATGTATGTAAGAATACAATTTATAATATAACACGTTATGTAGGTTACTTTGCTATAGGTAACTTATAATATGTATCTTTCCATGGACGTCAAACGTGCAGAAAATGTATTGTCAGGCTGACGGTCCAGGCAGTTATTTCCCGTTACGCCTAGCCATAGACTTTGGTCAGGGAGTCGATCGTGTTGCGTCTATGATGGTTGCCCGTGGTGGCGGTTGATAAAGGTGAAAACCGGTCGTTGTGGTGGCTGTACTTTGTACTGGAAGGCGGCATCCGTCGCGTATTGTGTCATTATTATTTTCAACAATATAAAATTAATTTCATTTAGTTTATGGGGGCAGAAGGAAAAAACTGAGCACGCCCCTGGGTACCAGCCTATTCATCTTTTTATGTATATTTCCAAAGCATGTCTAATTCTTGTTTTGTAATTGTTTTTTTTATTTTATTTAATAAAGCTTTACAATACCAAAATGCTCGTATACAATAATTTTATCGATTGTATCTATTATTAAATTTAACTGTGTATACTAGATTACTGATAATAATGAATAAGCGGACAGAATGGTGGGGATGTAAGGAGATCTTAAAAACAAGTTGAGCGCAAATCTACAATAATTTTTTATTACTTGAAAACTTGGAAATTCAAAAAATATATTTTGTATAGGAGAACCTAACCTAACCTACCTAAGATTTGAAAATTTAATAGTAGCTTCTCCAAACATTTCCTACATTAAAAAAATAGGTTCACAGAAGAGCTAAATTATTTTATTATGAGCGTTTAAAGTCTGTTATTATATTCACCCAAAAATTTACAATTTATCAAAGGCTGATTTTTTAATTTAATTGTTATTTATTTTTCAATAAATATAATGACTGTAGGTACCTAAATTTTATTTTGAAATTTTTTATATATCATAAAATATTTAAAATACATAAAAAATAAAATATAAAATTACTTAAGTTTTTTGCTCTATAAATGTCAATATATTTTTTATGGGGTTGGAATGCTTAAAAAATTTGATTACGAGTCACGCAAACTTAAATGAAAAAAAATGTAATTAATTAAATTAATTGAACATAATATATGATATATTAAATTTAACAATATTATTATCAAACAAATATTGTACATGTATTTTTAATGTATGCAGATTTAATTTAGTTAATTTATAGATACTGTGCACGAACCATGTATCTGATTTAAGGCTGTACTGTCACCAAACAAGTGGTTGATTTTTACGCAAACAAATTATCTTTTTGGTAATTTAAGTCTAACTAATTGCGCTTTAGAAAAGCGCATAATCCAAATTTCCTGATGTTCCTATCCGTTCATATAGATTGGTACCCGCTAAGTAGGTACATTCTAGATGTCTAGGTATATATCATCGTATAGGTACTGTCGATATAATTAGTGTATAGAATATAGATCCCTACCTACAGTGGCGTACGCAGGATTTTTATAAAGTAAATACTTCCTTAGTCATATAGTAGATATATATATTATGACGTATCTTTGTTCAACTTTCAGCTTATAAAATATACAAAAATAATGGATGACTAAATATATTTTCATTWKTTTCAGTATAATAATTGTAGTCACGTGGATGAGGTTGTTGAAAATTATTGTAAAATTTCTACCTCGGTCAGTTCTTCTTTTTTATTGATATTTAATAAGCTAACCTATTAAGACTTTCCTCTGTCATGGTTTACCTTAAGTACTATACACTGTCCAATTAATCAAACAAATACAAATAAATAATTTAATTTATAAACGTAATCTACCAAGTAGTGAAGGTCTTTAAAAATAAAAACATAACTTAAAGTTTTTTTCTTCTTCAAACTAAAAATCGAAAATAAATAATAAATGGTAGAGTGCAAACGACTGCAAAAAAATATCATACAAAATACCTTGACACTGGAGAGAAATAAGAAGGTTCCTACGTTAAAATAAATTTTAAAAGGCTTGTTAAAAATGTATATAAAAATATATTTATTTATAATATATGTTTTTAAAAATAGATTGGAATTATTAAATAATAATATAATTTAATTAATAAAATTATAGTATTGTTGAAAAAATACACTAATTAGAAACGGTGGAATGCTGTGCTAACCAAATTTAAAATATGAACACCGAACATTACAATATTATGAATTGTGATTCATGATAATGGCCATGTCTATTAATTGTCTACATGAGAATATAATCGTGTAAGATAATATAGTGAACATAACCAAAAATATTTGTAAAAGGCTTTATATATAGAACTATCGTAATGTTGGCTAACTTAATGATAATTGGATTGTTGATAACATCAGTTCGATAGTAGTTATCATTCATATTTATAGAMTATGATTAAAATAATTAAGTAAACCCATGATTTAAGATAGAATATTAAATCATGGATAAGCATAAAAACAAATAATCATAAATAATAATACAATAGTCGATGTAGGGGAGCTTCACCCCGTTAGCTACCCCACCTACGTACACTACTAGCTACCAACCTAGAGTTTGCAGTACAAATATTGAAAACKAATTGAAATAACATAATATAGATTGGGACATCAGTTGTAAAATAGTTGTTCGTTGAAAAAAATATGGTTAAACTTCTGTGATTACCACCAAATAGAGCCACTACAGGCTTAAGTAACAAAAAGTAATTAGTAAAAATCTGTGGCCGTATACAGAATAAATTATAGATTCATAATTGTTATAACTTATACAATATTTTACTGTTAATAATCATAATCAACTTAACATCGCAAAATCAATTCATTATTATCGCTCTACTCTAAATCTAAAATATTATTATTCGTGTAAAAAAAAGGGTTATCAATAACATACTTGCACATGTGGAATGAAAATAGTATATCTAAAAATATATACTAAATATCTTATTTTAAAAATAAACCGTAATCCTGTGTTTTATTGGCACTATTGACAGTATCTTACATATTATGACTCGCTATAATTTGGGTCATTAAGAATATTCCATGGTTTTAGTTTTTAAATAATATGTTTGTATCTAGGTTAAGTCAAATTGACTTATACAGTTATAACTTTTTTATATATTTAAAAACTTGTAAATTTCACCGAAGTAATTAATGCCTGCATGGAAAGCTGAATAGGATACTAATATAGGTGATATTATTATACCTAATTGATATTTTTAAACGATTTAAATTGAAACTCATTATGAACGATCCGCTTTTGTTACACAGTCTTCGAGTTATAGTATTAAATTACACACAAGTTTATTAGTCATATTATTGATGTGTTTAACTAAATTCTAGACATTAGTCAGTCTTGTAAAAAATACTTTTTAAAAATATTCAAGTACGTATTAGTATACTGGTACAGCTATAAAATATATGGACCATAGTAACACGACTACGTGAGAAATGTACAAAAAAATCATTACAGACTACAGAATATGTGTGGGACCAGCGCATAGGCAGGTATGGTAAATAGAAATATTGATTTATTTATTTTTAACTTGTCAAATTGTTTACACGCTTATGCATTGGTTCACATCAAATTCACCATTTATTTTTTTTGTTGGAACTCTTCATCATAGATACTAGCACCATTTGGAAAAATCATTTCACGTTGTAGGTAATTAACCAATATAATAGGTATATACCTAACATAGAATTTTTTATTATATCGTATTATAATATCGTATATAATCCGCTATCCTAATAAGTGCACATTACACTGCATAATACCCTTTTTTTGTGGGTACTTAAGTTTTCTTGTTGTATGAGACATGGAGACAAAATATTTTTATAGCATAATTTATTTCGACGCATATAATAGGTAATACTTTTAATGAAGACTGTACCTCGTCTGTCCTTTAAACACAAATAGGGTAGAAGTTTCAGTGGGCAGGATACCATAGCAACGTTATAAGTATTGATTTTAAAAACATCGAGTATTAAGAGTGACACTTACGCCCTTATTGTTAACTGTTTTCGTGTTGTGAAATTAGTGAGTTCAAAATATTTAATTTGATTGAAAACTGAAATGGTTATTTCAACGTTGAATATTTTCTGCAGATATAAGATTAATATATTCGAATTACCTATGGTATAATTTTACGTGGGTCGACGTTGGTCACTTTGGTTGGTAAACCTCATGTTGGAGTTTATATAATGATAGAGGAGCTTCAGAAAGAGCAACAACGAGTTGACTTAGAAATTGAATGCATTAATCGTGGAGAACCAAAACTGAAACAGAAAAAAAAAATTGACAGAGGAAAAAGAATAATGACGGTATAATGAGTGATTTTTTTTATCGAAGAACAAAGTATTGAATTTTTCAAAATACTTTTTTACATGGCTAACCTAAAATTCCAAACATTCCATCTGTCCCCAAATCAAGACAAGAGCGCAATTCCAACTTTTTTATAGCTAATGCCAAAATTTTTTTCGCAGGCCATTTCATATCATTACAAGGTCACAAAACTTTTTTTTTGGAGGGCCCCTGGCTCTGAGAAGAATTTTTTTAGAATATTGTATAGTTTATAAACCTAATATAATGTTGCATATTTATTATATTGAAAATACCACAATTATTACTATTTTAGCCTAACTAGTTGTACTTTCAATGTGTTTACAATTATACATATTTTTTGGTTGCTAGTGGCATTAATAGGTACTTGGTAAATAAATTTAAAGGTACCTAAAAAAATACCAAACCAAACCTTATTTAGTACACATTTTTTTCATGATACACAAAATACATAATATAAGCTAGCTTAATAAAACCTTTAATTTATTGTATGAGTACTCTACCCTTACTCAATATGGTACAATTAACAGCTATATAACTATCTAGCTGAAGCTGAACTCGTGTACTTCATAGCCCAATAAAAAGCCTAACTCTTAAATGTCTCAAACTGTGTGTTAAATTCGTTACTAGTGATCATGCTTGCAGTTTTATATTATACATATAGATAGATAATGGTTAAAATATACTAAATAATAATCTTACGTAGGTAATCTATTTTCTTGATAATTTTGATGTATCTGCATCTAAATTTTATTGAGTAATTTCTGATTTATTATTATATTTGTACTAAATATAGTAATCTTTAAAAAATGGTTTAAACAAAATATTAACTATTTGTAATAATTAGATTTTGTATTTATTATACTTGGATTATTTAAAAAAATTATTTATATTGGAAAATCAATAGTAATTACTAACAATATTCGAATCTTCTAAGTCCTAAATCCCTCATACATAATAAKYCCATTACTATAAACATATTATCCTTAGTAAGTACATAAATTTATATTGGTGATTCAAAAACCCTCATAAAGTTAACAGCACAACTTTATGTCAGCAAAGTTACACACCTATAATATTATTTTATTTAATATTTATTTATTTATTTATTTATTTATTTATTTATCATTTAGCCACCATAGAATTATTGAATATAGATTTTACTACTATTTACTTAAATACTTTAAATACTTTAATACCTAGTTAATAATTATTATGCATGAGATTTTGAATTTTGAATTATTAATATGTTGATAGCTGATAAGAAAAAGCGAAAGACATCAATATTTAAAACAAGCAAACATTAAACAACTAATATATATTAATCTATTAATTATTTAATAATAATTTATAATTTTAGCCGTTACTCCATCGACTTTTATTTTTATTTTTCTGGTTCGATTATCGAACGGAACTATTAGATATTTGGTTTGGTTCGATTATTTGGAATTTCCAGTTCCTCTAAGTGTTTGGTTCGGTTCGGTTCGAAAATCGAACAGTTCGTAACATCTCTAATATATAGCAATTATAATAGGTGGCAGGTGCAGTCGTTGTCAGATAAATTAAGATAGCACGTGGCGGAGGCGGCTACTTGCAGATTGTCAGCTGAGTAATTTATTTTTATACATTTATAATAAACAATTTGGTGAAGTGACTGTAAACGCGTTACATGAAGTTGGCCCCCCTACTTTGATCTATCATCTCCGAACAAATTGTAAACAATTATAAATCCATTGTAAATAATTGTAAATTCATTCCCTGAATTTGTAAATCACCAGAAAGCTTGGAAATCGAAAAATAAAACGAAGGGGATGATAAAAAAAAAAWTTTTTTTACAGATAAAATGTTTAAAAACTGAAGATCGAAAAAATTTTAAATAAAAAGGAAATTACTGATATTCCTTAGCTAAAATAAAAAAAATAATAAAACCATGATTTTTAATGAACTTTTTAAAGCGGAGATATATATAGATATATATGAAACAATAACTCACCCCGACTAGTTTTAACTTTTCATAATGTTAATAATTATTATTTTTGGCGTATTTTACAATTGATAAAAAAAATTAATCTGAATAAAAATATCTAAGTGAATTATAAAATATAATTTCATTAAAAAATAGCAATTGAAGAAACAAAATCTAAGTTTATAT